ATTAAATATAAATTTGAATTTGTATTTGATTTGATTTTCAAATCAAATATTCAAATATCAAATCAAATTGCAAAACCTTACTTACAACTGTTATTAGCTAACACTATTGAGAATATGATATATAATGATATGATACGCTCCACTATATCAAATCTATTATATGAATCTGAACTCTATGCTGCTATGATTGCTAATCAAATACATACATGTAATAAAAGATGTCAAGAATCTGCAAGTCTAGGTTAGACATGTAAAAATGGATTTTCCTGTTTATTTAGTGAAATAACCCATTATAAGAAAGGTAATAATTATTATATATATAAATGATTGCTCAAGCTGATTCCTGAATTATACCTTATTATGTCTAACTTTGTTAATATTAAATACACATATAAATGCCTAATATATAGCAAACAAATGCTTTATTTGATATATGGGTGGTGTGCTAGTAAAATTAAAGTACAGATCATATAATTTACTATATCTCATACCTTAATTTTAATAGTATATCATCTATATGATAAAATATATTATGAAAAGAAAACCTTTACACATTATCACTGGAAATAATTCTCTTATCACACATGTTTCGCTAAGTTATTTTACTGTGATAAGTAAGTTTCTTATCATCAGATCTTATAATATTAGGGAATCTCACATCTACAGGTATCTTAAATACCTTGGAATTATTTCATTTGACTTTATGAACTTAAAGGTTTAGGAACTTAGGAGAAACGTAGAGAATTTATTTATTCTAAGTGACAAACTCAAAAGCAAGTTAGTGTAGTAGTTTACAATCAAATCCTAGATAATAGATATGTAGAAGAAAAAGTAATTATATTTCAAAGTTGATTCCTTTATCTATTACTTGAAACTCACAAGTATTTTAAGAACTTACAAAAGAGTTAATTTACAACTTGAGCAAAAAGCTATTCTATTTATACAAAAAATAATTTATTACAGTTAATTAATTATTATGTTATAAACTAATTAAATTTGTACAGTCAAACCTTGATATAGCGAACCCTTGATATAGCGAATTTTTAAATCAAATATATTAAAATTA